ATTTGGGATTCATCGGCCTAAATCTCACTACAAGGGTTATATAAAAAGCAAATGGAAGGTGTTATAAAAAAAAATTGTCCATTAATGAATAATATACATGTTTCTATGTATGAAATGCATTGAGTAGTCCCAAACATCCGGTTGATAAAATCATATTTTTGATACGAAGCAAGTAACTTAATCTAGTCTTAACGGTTGAAACGATCAAAGAAATAGGAGAATCCCTACTTGTTGAAGTGTAAACTTGTGACTGCGAGATCTATCCAAACTAAGAAAGGGTAAGGATTTAAGTAAATCAAAAACTATACTCTACAACACACTCCAAGATCTTTGAGTAAAAAGAATAAATTTGGGGGGTGTGAATCTCTCGAGTGAAGAAAGGAAAAATTTGACTACTATAGGTCGGGATTTGCAACCATCATCAGTTTGGTATGTTTTGCATAAGTATGCACACACATACACATCAAGTTCTGCATATGATAAGTAGAGGTTGATTTGATTTATCACTGTTGAAACTGTTCATTTTGTTGATTATTGAATTCTGATCCTGAGATACGGCATGCTGTCAAACCATGTTTTGTGTAGAGTTAAGTCACCATCTTGTTTGAGGACAAACAATAGTCTAAGTTTGGGAGAGTTGATAAGTGCATTTCTAACGTGTATTTAGCTACATTACATGACTAATTGTTGGCATAAATGCTTGAATATGGCTTAATTCGACATAAATTGTGTTTGTAGGACTATAATGATGAATGTGGTGAAAATTCGGAAAAACAAGTGAAAAAGGGTTTAAATGAAGCAAAAGCAAAGTTTGAGGACTCAATTGCAAATACTAAAAAGTTGTGTCGATCCCACGATGAAAATTTGAGAGTATTGGGTATCAATTGGATGAGAAAAGAAGCCAAATGGATGAAATAGAGTCGAAGTACTGTCACAAATCAACTTTCAGCTGAAAAAGTTATGCTTCGAATTTTCAGTCTTAGTTTGAGACCCATTTTTGGAATCGATGGAATTCAAATTTGAAGATTTTTATCAGAAGATTTGTAGCCCTTTGAGTAAGCTTTCCAATGCAATTTGAATCATCTCAATCGAATATCGGGAAAGAAAGATATGATCAAAATACTGAAAACTGTTCGATGGAAAAAATGTATAACTATGCAGCCACATAATTATAAATCCATGTGACCGCATATAAATGTACTATGCGACCACATAGTACAAACTTTTGGCGAGATTTTGTTTCCTTTTTCAACTAAAACTCTACTTTGATAACAAGATTTTAGGCATCCTATATAACTCTATTCTCGTCCAGAATAAGTTTTTATGCATTCTTAGAGAGAAAAAAAATATTGAAGAGCAAGGAAGAAGGTAAAAACAAGGGATTTCATTCCAAGATTCAAGATTGCAAGATTTAAATTCAAGAATTGGGTGATATCTTCTCCTAAATATTTTTATTGTTCTTTTATTCTATCCATGCTAGGCTAGACTTTTTATGTACTAGGTGAATGATGAATCTCGCAATATGATCTTTTAATTCTCTATTTTGCAATTTGATATTCAAAAACGATTGATGGATGTTGAATGATCTACATATACTTTCTTACCTCCATAGTTAAATGCATGTGATTATGTGAGTTTGGGTGATCTATTTTATGCATTCGAAAGAAGGGAAATAAATTCTATAAGGTATAAATTATCGTAGGGTCCGATAGGGGGATAGAAATATACCGCTATACTTTATGTGAGTCTCTAAATATTTACAAAACATCATACATTCTTGTATATTGCATTTGTATTAGATATATAGTCAAATGGTATGCGAGAATATGTTCAATTCTACTCAAAAGAGATTATTGGATAAGTTAGAAACATTGATTCTTCAACCAATTCATCGTGATATCGGATTGTGAAATAGAGGTTAAAAATGAGTTTGTTTGGTGATTCGGCATCCTAGTGCACTTTTCATTCATTAATTTCATCAAACTTTTGCATTCAACATAATTTTGCATTCATTTAGTCACATTAGCTTAAATTACCTTTTAGTCATAGTTTAGTCATAAAATCCAAATAACCAACCATCTTGAGTTTAATAGATTCGGTTAAGGTCTTGATAATAGAAATCAAATCAAATCAATTCTCGTGGGATGATATTCGAAATTTTACAATTCACTTTATTATTTGTCAATGAACCGTGCACTTGCGGTGATTTAAATTCAAAACATATTTTCGTGAACAACCTCTACCTCAAATTCAAAGGAAAAAGGGATGAAAGTACTCTTTCTTGTTGTGCTTACGGTAAGTTGGGCAAGGGTATCGATCTCAGGCTGTTCCAGGATGAATAGTGGATCGTGCACGCCTATGCAAATTGTTATCTATATCAATATGATGAAGTTTACTCCAGTGGAAACCCCATTTGCTAGAAACTTTGATTTTCATTTTCTTCTTCAAATTCAAACATAAGATCGATAAATAAGTGACAGACCCATTTGCGGATCTTGTCAAAATTTTACATTTTTTGGATAGTCAATCAGTTTTATTTAGTGGGCAGCTTTTCCTACTTCGGTTGAGTATACTTTAATTTTTGGTCTGAAATTTCTTATTATGTGAGTTGAAGAAATGATTATTTTATCCATTAATTAAATGAAATATGCTTTTTTAGACTTGTAACGGTACAAGTATTCATGGTTTCATCTTGATTTTCTAGATCTATGCTTCTTTTTATGATTCTTGATAAATATAAAGACTGAGAAATGTTTCTTAGTGTTTATTTATGTGCATACGTATGTTTGGTTTTAAGGTTATAAAATTTTGATCATTCTGAGGTGGGTAGTTTCATAAGAAAGAATACTCTCATCCCTTTTTCCTTTAGGTTTGAGGTGGAGGTGGAGGTGGCGGTGGTGGCTGTGGTAGGTATGGATTTTGGGTTTGAGGTGGGGGTAGGTGAGAGTTGAGAGGAAGAAGACGATTGTGTGTGTGTTATTATTATTATTATTATTTAATTATTTAATGTGATAAATAGAAAGTTACTCTTTAAATTAAGTTTTTGATCAACTAACAGAATTATGGATGGAAACTGTCCAAAAGGGCTTCACCTGACACATTTGAAAATGTCACAGGGTCACGGCTACAACAAATCAAATGTTTGAAAAAAATCTGCTAATGTTTCAAAGGTTTGGGGCTTTTACTGCAATTATCCCTAAAAAAATAAACAATTATATTTTGTGGACATAATTTTTCATTTAATTAAATAGGGTTCGTTTGTGATAGAGATTTTTGGGTAATCGATTTGACAAGTTTTAACCAATTTAAATACGTTACAACAACTTGCGTATATATGTCAAATTCATGAAGATAATGTGAAAGGGATTCAATAATGACATTATGCAAATCCTTGAAATCTAAGCACTTAAGATGCTGGCAGGGGTTATAGAAGTAACGCTTACTGATCGATATATGGACAGAATTACCAATTGGATGATAAATAAATATTTTAAAATTGATTTAGATTACGCTCATGCTTGGTGTTAAAGGACGATGACTCGAATTTTGTTTAGTCCGATTCAAAAAGCTTGTAGTGCAATATTATATGGTATAACTTAAATTGTGAGAAATTTTTTGTGGGTTTGTGTTAGTGCGACATATGTGGTGAAACTAAAAGTATGGACATATTTTATTATGCTCGCACATATGATCATATTGGTGATTAACTTTCCTTTATAATTGAAATAATTTGCAAAAAAACAAAAAATAAAAAAAGTGAAAAAAGGAAGACACGAGATTAAATGTTAAAGAAGAGCATCGTTATATGACAGAAATATTGGAATATTATTTTCTATGGGCTTATACGTTTAACTTACAATTGTCATACAAGCTATTTAATTAAGGGCAACTTACAAAATACTCTTAAAATTAAGGGTATTTTGAAAAATCATATGAAACATATTTTGGAAGTAAAAAATACTTTATAAAATCAATTGTCAAAAAAGTGACATGGTAAAAAAAAAGTGACCCGCTGTCACTTTTTAAAGTTAAGTGTCACTTTTTATTATTAAAAAATGACATACAATGTCACTTTATTAAAAATTGGTATTTGTCACTAGAAAAAGTGATAAAAATTAAGAAGGTGACTGAAAAAAGTGATAAACACTAAAAAAAGTGACGAATTCAAAAAAGTGACACAAATTAAAAGAAGTTATACAGATTAAAAAAGTGATAGACAATAAAAAACGTGACAAACACTCAAAAGTGATAAAATTTAAAAAAAAAAGTGACAAACTCAAAAAAAATAAGTTTGTCACNAAAAAAATTAAAAAAAAAGTGAAAAAACTAAAAAAAAAAAAAACAAGTTTGTCACGTTTTTTGTCACTTAAAAAGTGATAGATATTAAAAAAAAAAAAAGTAACGAACAATAAAAAAAAGGTGATAAAAAAATTGACAAATACTAAAAAAGTGACAAACGTTCAGAAAGTGACAAAAAGTAAAAAAAAAAAACTGCAAACATTCGAAAAAGTGACAAAATACTAATCGAAAACATCCAAGTTGTCTTAAACAAACATGAACATCCAAAACATGGAAAATAAAAGATTATATTCAGACTCAGTACCATAAGAAAAAATGACAAAACACCAATCAAAAATTGAAATTAGTGACAAAAATAATATATATAGCCAACAAAATCACATTCATAAATGAAAACAAAATAAAAATGGTTTTTTTTCTCTTTGCTGAGGTGGGATGAAGATTTCTCTTTGTTGTAATGACATTTTTTTTTTTTTTTGGTATAATCCAACACAATCACATTCATAAATGAAAACAAAATCAAAATCAAAATCAAAATCAAAATACGACTATTTGCTCCAACAGTACATCCAGATGAAACTTTATATAAATTACCGAGTCAAAAACATCATGACAATTCTCACATTTGCAGCCAAAATTGGTTCAAAGATTTTTCCTAAGAGCTCTCTTCAACAAGCTTAAATTGAAGCCTATATAATCTATCAAGGTGCAACGACAACAATCCTTCCAGCAACTTGGTCAAGATCCCGTCCCCAACTGTATGTGATTCTTCTTCCACCCCTTGGTTCCATATCTATAATGTTCATGTTCTGCAATTGGTGAAGAAGCAACGGACCCACTGCTTTTGCCGAAATGGGGTGGACGACTCCATTCCTCTTACTCCCATCGTAAATTCTTCGGAAGACACCGACACGAAGACCTCCCCTTAAGTATATCTTCATTTACTCCCATCGTAAATTCTCTGGAAGGCACCGACACAAAGACCTCCCCTTAAGTATATCTTCCTTGCCATGGAAGTCGACTTAATATATTACCAATCAGGATCATACGGAGCAAGTTCTATAAGTACTCCAGTTTTCACAATATCGATCCACTCGGGAAGCTCCATCTTGCCAGAACGCTTGAGGTGTGTGGCATATGCCTTGACAAACTCATGGGGTGAGACGTCCTTCAAGGTTCTAGCAGTAGCCATTGATGCAGATCTTGAATTACGCGCAGCTCGCGATACTGCTTTTTTGCTGTAATGGTTTGGGAGTTTTTGGAATCGAAATCGGGGGTTTTGATTTAGATTGGGTTTTGGGGGATTAATTTAGAACGTATTAATTACATGATTAAAGGTTATAATTAGTTAATGAGGTATTATTCAATTTCCTTAATTTTGGAGGGTTAGGCCCTAGTTTTCCCTTTAATTAATTAGAGTCAATTTAAGTGATTCAGTTATTGGGCTATAGTTGCTCATATTGGGTATGGACTCCCATTACTAGCTAGATTAAATAGGGTTAATGAGACTCTAATTAGAACTTAGCATAATTTTCATTTTTAGTTTCAATTTTATCCCCAAATTTAACATTTAATTTCACTATCATAATATTTCCGAATTCTCATCCCTATATTTTTCACTTTCTTAAAAAGATAGAAATTGTTCGACAAAAAATATTACACATTGCAATTTGATTAGATTCTAGCCAACTTACTGCTAATGCAATCTAAGTTCTTTAGCGTATAAAAAATGCGTCGATGTTTATATTTTCCTATAAATTCTTTTTTGTTAATTCGATGATTCGCCTAAGTTTGTTGCTCTAATTTAGCACTCTACCATCAACTAGAATGGACTATCAACCAACCAACTGTGAAAATGACGAAAATGTCTCGACCAACAAGCGCTTTTATATTATATTCAGTACTTGTTAATAATTAATTATTCAATGTTTATAAACTTTTTTGCGACCTTTTTTTTTTTTTTGGCTGATTTTTAACGTATGTTATTATTACTTTAATTTCAAACTTGCTTGCTCCAATGTCATGCACAATTTGAAGTCACTGCAGGCTACAAAAAGCACGAACTACGCCTATGACGCTTCGCTTGAGCATTGATGCTTTAGTATGTACTATGTAACGTGGTATTATGATTTTTTCAGTTATATATTAATTAATTTAAATTTAAGTCCAACCCAAAGTAGAATCCTAGCTCCGCCACTCAAGACAAGTTATCTAATGCATTTATTTTTACGTTTGTTTGCTTCCGTATTAAGTAGATAGTCTTGCTCGCTACGATCAAGAGTTTAGGTTTGGGTGTGATAAATATATTTTATACACTTATCTGAGTTTTTATATTTGATTGTTAATTGAGCGAATATCTACCTAATTTTGGTTAAATTATGTTAATTGTTAATTGAGCGAATGTCTACCTAATTTTGGTTAAATTATTGTTAATTGTTAATTGAGCGAATATCTACCTAATTTTATACACTTATCAAATTGAATGCAATTGGCATGAAAAATGACAATTGAAGATCAATCAATTTGATTAACATGAAAAATTAAGAAATGAATTGGAAGAGATTCACAAGTTTCGAGAGATAAATCAAAGTTTGAAAATTTAATTGTGGATAATAAAGATCAAATTACAAAAATTTCAAGAAGAATGACCAATGATGCAAATAGAAAGTGACTCCGAGTCATGATCATTAATTTGTGATAGAGATTTTTTGTAATGATTTGACAAGTTTTTATACAATTTAAATACGTCACAACAACTTGCACATTTTATGTCAAATTCATGAAGATAATAGGATAGATATGAATTTTAGGACTTTCGCATGAATCAAAATCATTTTCTTTTCGATAATGACATAAAGTAATTCCTTGAAATCCACCTTTGCTGCGGGGGTTATAGCCTTTTTCGACTAATGTGTGGATAATATTATCAATTGCAATTGGTGGGAAGTGACTCGTTCTCAGGTTTTTTCGGTGGCTTTGAAATTTTCAATATTTTACATATAATCGAGTCGAACTGTGATTCGTATTTTTTTCCCTAGTCGAACTAGTAATACAATTCTTATAATATCGTATCAAACTTGACTCATCATTGATAGACGAAATTGAGTTATGGGCGCATTTGAGGGATTATAACTCCGGCACCAGGACCAAAAAACACCATGAAATACATAAATAATTCCTGATACCAACCGATGTAGCTGAAGATTATATGAAAGAATGAAAGCTCGTAAAACTCAAACTCGTTGATTTGAAAGACCAATTACCACGAAAGAGAGAATAATTTGAGAAATTTTTCAAGACTCTTTATTTAATTCAAATTTTAATTGAATATAAAAATTAATGATAACTTGTATTTAAAGCATAAATAAATTCTAGATAACAATAAGAATAAAAGATAAAATCAAACTCTAAACGGAATTAAAATTTTAATCCAATCAACATTAAGAAAATTATCAATCATAACGAAAAACGTGTTTTCTGAGCCCTAAACAATGGAATTGGGCAAAAACGTGCTATACTTCATTGGCAAAGTCTAAGATTTTTCTCATTGGGTCGTTTCCACTCAAAATAGACACAATTATCTTCGAAAACGACACTTCGAAAATTTATTTTTCCCGACATCGATCCCACTTTTCCACGAGCTCTTTTTCTTTCGTATTGCATTAGCTTTCCATTCATAGCCATCACAAGTAGACCCTAATTAAATGGTGG